CGCGTTGACTCTGAACGATATCCATCCTTACAGTAGTGATAATCTTTCTGTGTGTCAAGTTACTCCATCACGCTAATATTTAGGGATCTTGGAAGCTCACGCCTACAGTATGCCCACCGTAGCAGACTGAAAAGAAGATTGGATTATATTTATCTAGCATATCGTATAATGCTCTTCGCTATTTTCATTGAATTCTCTGAGGAGTTTGCTGCGTAGATATGCCCACCGTACCTGCAATAAGGAATTATCGTGGGGATGATTATGATGACTGTAATCAGCGTGATGAAAAGCCCATATGTGAGTTAGAGCCACGGTGACTATTCCACAATTTAACGCTAAAATCCTTATGGCAGAAAGTCTTGATTGTCTTAAATAAAAATCATGCCTTAAACGACTTTTGTGCAAACTATGTGGCCTACTATCATTTTATAATATTGTATAAATATTATTTAAAGGCCAGGGTCGCAACGTGGACAGCGACGGTTAATGCATATGTCGTGGAAAAGACACCTTTATCGCGTTAACATTGATCGATGCGACATTCATAGCTCTTCTATCTTTCCTGAAAATCTTTCATTAGTTCCACTACTTCCAAGATGAGATTTTCTTCGTGGTAACCGTCCCGCAGTTTATTATATAGAAAACTCGGCAAAATTTTTTAATGGAAAATCTCATGGCATAGTTAGGAAAGTGATTAATTGAGAAATAACAGGTTGAAGAAAGAAAGTTGCAGAATGAATAAAATGGTTACTATCATAATTCTTATAGATTATTAAAACACTAATGGAATCGTGTTAGTGATCAGAAATTTTGTATATTCTACTCCAGACATTTGAAAATGCACTTTAATAGCATCTAATCAGCTGGAATCCAAATAGTCTTTGATCATGAAGGTAACAATCAGGCTGACGAAGGTTTTTATGGTTGATAACATCAGACCACTCGAGTCGGAACAGTGTCGTTCCTATCGCCGAAAAGGGTTCAAATGCAATCTCAATCTGACTGATGTGACACCTCCTATTACAATAATTAGTAATTATTTCAACAATTTGCTACTAAGTTTGTTAAAAATTAATGAATTTACATTGGCAGTGTACGGTAATTTGCAAGCAATCTTCCAAATCCGACTGTTTTCTCTTTCTTTCTCAGTTAACTTTAATTGATTTATGCTT